CGCCGCTCGGCCTCGTGCCGCCGCCGCGCTACCCCGGCAGCCTGGACGGTCCTGGCGCCGGCGGCGACGGCGACGACTACAAGAGCAGCAGCGAGGAGACGGGCAGCAGCGAGGACCCCAGCCCGCCCGGAGGCCACCTCGAGGGCTACCCGTGCCCGCACCTGGCTTACGGGGAGCCGGAGAGCTTCGGCGACAACCTGTACGTGTGCATTCCCTGCGGCAAGGGCTTCCCCAGCTCGGAGCAGCTGAACGCGCACGTGGAGGCGCACGTGGAGGAGGAGGAGGCGCTCTACGGCCGGGCCGAGGCGGCCGACGTGGCGGCCGGGGCCGCGGGCCTCGGGCCCCCTTTTGGCAGTGGCGGGGACAAGGTCGCCGGAGCTCCGGGCGGCCTGGGAGAACTGCTGCGGCCATACCGCTGCGCGTCGTGCGACAAGAGCTACAAGGATCCGGCCACGCTGCGGCAGCACGAAAAGACGCACTGGCTGACGCGGCCCTACCCGTGCACCATCTGCGGGAAGAAGTTCACGCAGCGCGGGACCATGACGCGCCACATGCGCAGCCACCTGGGCCTCAAGCCCTTCGCGTGCGACGCGTGCGGCATGCGCTTCACCCGCCAGTACCGCCTCACCGAGCACATGCGCATCCACTCGGGCGAGAAGCCCTACGAGTGCCAGGTGTGCGGGGGCAAGTTCGCGCAGCAACGCAACCTCATCAGCCACATGAAGATGCACGCCGTGGGTGGGGCGGCTGGCGCCGCCGGGGCGCTGGCGGGCCTCGGGGGACTCCCCGGCGTCCCCGGCCCCGACGGCAAGGGCAAGCTCGATTTCCCCGAGGGCGTCTTTGCTGTGGCCCGCCTCACGGCGGAACAGCTGAGCCTGAAGCAGCAGGACAAGGCGGCGGCGGCGGAACTGCTGGCGCAGACCACGCACTTCCTGCACGACCCCAAGGTGGCGCTCGAGAGCCTCTACCCGCTGGCCAAGTTCACGGCCGAGCTGGGCCTCAGCCCCGACAAGGCTGCGGAAGTGCTGAGCCAGGGCGCTCACCTGGCCGCGGGGCCCGACGGCCGGACCATCGATCGTTTCTCGCCCACTTAGGGCGCCCCTCGAGGGCCCGCCTGGCCCGCGCCTCGCGGCCTTGTCTTCTTGGGGAGCGGCGCAGCCGCGAGCAGCAGGCACACCGCTCCCGGGACCACTAGTAGCAGCAGCGTCGCCGCAGTGGCGGCCCCGCCTCTCTGCGGCCTCACCTGGCCTCATTGCTTTGTGCCTTAGCCCGGGGTGGGGGTGGGGTGGGATGGGGGAGGGGAGATTTATATTTTTGATATCAGCTTTGACCAAAGGAGACCCCGGCCTCTCCCCCTTCTTCCTGTGGTTCGTTGGCCCCCTCCCCCCGGCTCCGTGCTGCTCTTGGGGGGAGGGGTGTCACGGTTCGGGCGGCTCAGCCCTACCTCCGGCCCTCGCGACCACACCCATTCTCACTGTGAATCTCCCCGCTGGGGTCGGAGCGTCGGGCAGAGTTGGGGAGAGGGAAGGGGACTGAGCCGCCGGAGGGGCCCCTGCCTCCCACTCCCGACCGCCCCGGGACTGATAATGTGAAGTTCCTCATTTTGCACAAGTGGCACTAACCCCAGGGCCAGCCCTCCTCTTTCTTAATCACCCGGGTAAGGAATTCTGGAGCCAGGACTGAGACAGCCCTGGCCTACCTGTCTTCCACTCTGGTGTCTTTCCCCCTCCCCCCCCTCCCCTGGGGTCCCGGACCATATTTATTGCATGCGCCCCGGGTGGCCCCCAGCCCCAGCCCACTATGGGCTGGGATGGAATTCGGTCTCCTTAGCTCCCTCCTTTTCGTTTGTATATTTCCCATCTTGTACACAGGCTCTCCCAGAGCCGCTTCCATTTTCTATACTCGAACCAAACAGCAATAAAGCAGTAACCAAGGTCCCCAATCCTGCTACTCTCTTGTGCCCCACACAAGGACCTGAGTGGACCCCGCCAGGGTCCAGGGTGGCAGGTGCACAAGCCTGGACTAGCAACCCCTCCTCAATCCCAGAAAGAGACGAGTAAGAGGTCGTTTGCTTCATAACTAAAAATTTATTAAGGAAACAAAACCAGGGCTTCAAATGGGACAAGAAGAGAGGATCTCAAGGGAGGAGGCCTGGACCTTGTATCCCAAAGAGTCAGTCTTCTGAGCACTGAGGCCCTTGGCACTCATACCCCCAGACCACTGGCCTGGTTCTCCTGCCAGCCCCAGTCTAGTATGGTCCTGGGTCCAGAGAAGGCCCAGCATCCTCAGGGAAGCTCCCAACCTCTGGGCAGGCTGGAGAGTCAGTGGGCTGTAGGGGAGATTCTGACTGGCGCATCAAGATTTACCTTTGCTCTGCTTAAGACCCTGCTTACCCCTAAGTCTTCCTTATTCCTTATCCCTTATGGAGTAAGTGATTACTGGTAGGAATCTTCCAGAGTAAGGTGGTGAATAAGGGCACCAGCTAAAGGGCAACAGATTTAAAAGGTAAAGGACCTCCATCCGTTCTTCTCAGAAGTAGAAGGGAAAAAAAGCCAGAAACAGAGTGAACACTCTAGGTTGGATAATGCTTCACCAGGCACTGGACCACCCTATTCTCAGACTGGGCTGGTTTTAGTCTGGATGCGTCTCTGAGCTCGGAAGCCTGGAAAGGAAGGAAGGAAGATGGGTGGGAAAGCTTTAATAGGTTCCTGCCACAGGTAATAGAGGAGGAAGATTCAGAGAGAGAACCCCCATGAGGAGGAACTGAAGGGCGGAAGTTGAAGGACCAGGGCCTGTGAAGGAGCACTATAAAGGGAAGGGTGAAGAGATGTTCAGAGGCAAGGCTGGTGATGGAAGGATAAGGGTCTGAAGGCATTTCCCCCAAAAAAGGGATTAGAGCAAAAAGAAGGTCAGGAGGGGAGAGTGAGCAGGTGAGAGGGGTGAGCAGAGTGAGCACCCCACCCAGGAAGTATGAGCCTGAGACCAGATGTCTGTTCCCTCTAGACCCATGGTAGTTCAGGGGGAAAACAAGGGCAAGGTGCAAGAGCCACAGATTGACAGGACAAGGAGGAAGGATGAATGTGTGTGTTTGGGGTGGGGGTAGTGGAGGTTGGGGGCATGGGGTTGCTATTAGGGACAGAACCTAACCACAGGGTCCATGGGGGGAATCTAAGCCTCAGGGAGACAGACATACCCCGGGCACCTTCTTCACAACACAGCCAAAGCCTCTAGGTCACATTCATGCCAGAGGTTCTGCAGATTAAAAGGGGTCTGTGATTTCACCTGCATCTGATGGAAACTAGAACCCCTTACCCCATCACCACTAGAGAAAGCGGCCCAGTCCTGGGGGTTAGCAGGCCTTGCCCCAGCCCTGAACGAGACGGGGGGAGAAAGGCTGAGAGCATGGGCGGCCTTGTCTGGCTTGCCCACCTGTTGTCACTGTAGCCAGCCACCTCCCTGCTAAATCTTGGCAGCCCAGGAGGGCCCCAGCAGCTTCCACCCGACCCTTGGAAGGGGCTCTGTGAGGAGCAGCTCCCCCACAGCACGGCCACGGCGTGGGTTGGAAGAGGATGGTTTATTATCTGGGTGGATTGGTGGTTCAGGCACGTGGGCATCTTCTGTGCTACAGTGTGGGTGCCTGGTGGCCTCTCAGGAACGGTTCCATTTTGGGTGGACCCTAGCGTGGCCCCCTCAGCCCACCTGGGCCCACGTAAGGAAGGCTGGGATGTCCCGCACAGGCACATTTCTCGTCAGAGCCTTCACACGCAGGTTCCGGTCATCAGTCAGTAACACCACCTCCCGTAGTAGGCGGATTGGCTCTTCTGTCAACACAGAAAGCAAAAAGACTTCACTGAGGACAGGAAGCGAAAGAGCTGGTAGGCAATTCTAACCTGGGAGGAGAATGTGGTCCTGGAGGGAGCAAGTTCTTTTCTTCTTCTAACTCTCATACTTGGGTTGGTTGCATCTCTCCTGCAGCTTAGAGGGTCATGCTGGGCAGGGGCTGGGATTCTGCTCTGAACACCTGCCTGCCACACAAGACTCTGTTCTGCCTTGTGCCTGTGAAATGCCCAAACCGTGGGCCATCCATAGATTGTCTCCAGGACTCTATACTCCTAGGAGTAGAAGTTCCTTGCTTTCTATTCCTGACTGCTTGGCTGGCCCTGAATCCACAAACCTTTCTACACATTTTCTCCTAACTACAGAGACCGAAAACCAGAACAGAACAGAACAGAACAGAATAAAGCATGCCAGGTTCCAGGTGTGGGGAAAGAGGTTAGTTTGAATGAGCCCTGGGGAGAGGTAGGCAAGTTTCTGAAAGAGTTTTACCAAAGGGGTCCTGGTACTATGGCCAAATGATTTCTTCTATTAAAGTAACCTATGTATATCTAACAGTACAGAAAAGTAAAAAGGAAATGAAAAACCAGGATTATCCTCTCAGCTGTCTGGTACCTTAGGGGTAGCTCTGTATATCCTTCTAGATTATGTACATTTCTAAGCACATATACTTTGTGTGTGTGTGTGTGTGTGTGGATGTGTGTGTGGATGTGAACGTATGTGTGGATGTGTTCATGTGTATGCTTTCTCCCTACAAAGCTGAGCTCAAACTAGCTGTATTTACTCAAATGTTATATAAAACACCTTCCTACATCAGAACATAGCCTTCATTCTGTTTAGATTACTTTATAATCTCTTTACTATCCCTTCCCCTCTCTGACCTTTAATAAACTTAAAACAGGCCAAGTAGTCATGCAAGTGATGCCACCACCTGTGGCAGGCCCACTTGGGTGGCACATCCACTCTAGTCCAGGCTGGTTGTTTCCTAGCAGAGGCCCAGCAGACAGTGAAGCACAGGAAACATCCTGTGGTTGTTCACAAACTGCGTGGGCTGGCGGGGACAGGGGACTGCAAACATCCATGTCCCACTCCAGTGGTTTCAGGCTTGCTAGCTCCAGGCAAGGAGGCTAAGAACTGGTTTTTAATCTCAAGGAAGAGTTCTGGTGACAAAGGAAAGAGAGGTTCTCAGTACTGATGATAGTGAGAGAAAGGATGGCTTGAGGGAGGCAAGGGGCTGTGGTGGACAGAGGGTGAATTAAGTGGCCAATGGATATAGGGTTTAAGACACCCTCCACTGCCTGGGCCTCCTCCCCCAACTCCTGGGAGGCGAGGTGTGGTGCCTGTTTCTGTGTAGAGCTCCCAGCTGCTTGTCTAGGTTTGTCTACAGCCTCACTGTTCCTGCCCTGGGCCTCATACAAGGAGTCCCAGGCCTTAGGTCAGCCAACCAAGACCCAGCGTTGCTGGCAGGGGTCTGCAGGGGTTTCTGTGGATACTTTGAGACATTTTTAACAATAAACATCCTCTGTTTTGACACTGGTAACTTCACTTTGTTAGAAACCAGAGACTGTCATCTTGTCAGGCCCCATCCGCCATAATCCACATGATTTTAAAATTCAACATCGTTTACACATAAACATTTGGTGACGGTTTCTCTGTGAATCTGACAAGTTAATCTGCTAAGAATTCACACTGACAAATGGGGTTTGATTACACTAGCCGTTGCTGATGTAATTCTGATAGAGGCGGTCCTGAGGATGGCAATGGTTCTCACAGGCTGCTGGGGTAGCCGGGGATGGCAGCAGTGGTGGAGGGACTAATAGGGCCAAAGCCCAAGTGCGTCTGTGCTAACCAAGGGTAAGCAGCATGGGAGCCATGCTTCCTCCTAAGGCCCTCTGCAACCCTGCCTACCTCTTCCTCAGGCGTGTCCTTCTCAGCAGGACCCCTGGCAGAAGCTCTGGTCTTGTGGCACAGAGACTCAGGCAGAGGGATGGCTACGCTAGCTAACGTGGGTGCGGTGAGGCAGAGAGAAGACAATCCCTAAGCCAGCATGAGAGCCAGGGCTAGTATACAATCAGAGGAGATAGAGGAAGAAAAAATTACAAGAGCTGGGCACTGGTGGCTCACGCCTGTAATCCCAGTTACTCAGGAGGCTGAGATCTGAGATCAGGGTTCAAAGCCAGCCTGAGCAGGAAAGTCTGTGAGACTCTTATCTCCAATAAACCACCAGAAAACCGGAAGTGGTGCTGTGGCTCAAGTGGTAGAGTGCTCGCCTTGAGCTGAAGAGCTGAGGGACAGTGCCCAGGCCCAGAGTTCAAGCCCCACGACCACCACCAACAACAACAAATTAAAAAAAATAAAATTAGAAGAAACTGACCACTTATATATATTAAGACAGAAATTGTAAGTTTAAGTCTCAAGTGGCTCAGGTAGAGCCCCTGTCTAGCCACCAAAAAAAAAAAAAAAGGCAGAAATTCAGTGACGGGAATTACCAGCTCTGCAGATGATACTAAGCTAGGAGGTGCTAGAATTCCTTCCAAAAGAAATGTTAGAATCCTAGGAACCAGGAGCAGAAAACTCCCGTGTGTCATTGGGCTTGTAGTGCTGTGCAGAAGGCTCAGGGGTAAGGTTAGGTCATCAGGCAAGAGAGCCCCAAGGTAGGCCTCTGCTCACCAAAAAGATTCTTGAAAACGAGGCTGTAGGCTCAGTCCTCAAATTTTTCCCTGCCTCCAATTCTAGCCAGTCCACAAAGTGCACAGCTCCCAGCCACAGGACTGGGAATAAAGGCCTATCCCTTGCTGGGGAGGCACCTCTGCCCCAGGCTCATTACAGGGTAAACTAACACGGGTAGGAGTGCGGCCACTGGGGATCATACTCCTCAGGGCTGCAGAGGTCTGGATGCAAGAGACCACAGCCAGAACAAGCTACACTGAATCATGAAGACATTCTTGCTGTCAGAGGGAACTCACCAAGGACCCAAGAAAGGAAATGGACACAGGCTGAGTAGGAAAGCTCACTGCCTAAAGCTGGGCTTCCTGAGGTAGGCCAGCACCCACCTGCCAGTTTCTGGGTGCGGAGGAGCTAGGCCAGGAGGTCTGACCTGGAGGGCAGGAAATGTGCTTGCTTCAGTCTCGCTTAGGCCATCCTGGACTTCCCAGAGCAGTCAATGGAGGGACTCTTCCCAGGGGCTGAGGATGGGTGAAGCAGGGCAGGGGGAGGGAGGATTCTGAGAAGGGGCTAAGCCTTACCTTTGTTGGTAGGCATGAAGTCCTTAGCCTTGTCTTTGCAGTAGTGGAGGCAGCAAGAAAGGATCAAGTCATCATTGTTACCCTGGAAAGAGAGAGAGAGAGGGAGACAGTGTGAGAAGCACCACTGGGCAGGAGGGGGCGCCATGTGGAGGCAGAGGTATACTTCCAGGGCCATGTCCTGGAGTCCCTGTCATGTTAGTCTGGCTCTGCTTGAGCCTGTGCTGAGTGATGTAGGGGACAAGGAACTCCCCACTCCTACTTCTTGAAGGTGGCTGCTCCTCGGCTGCTCAGACTGGTAGGACTTTCCTTTAGTTGTTCCATTCTGGAAACCCTGGTCTAACAGTGAGCTGTGGGCATTCCCTCTCTGCTGAGGGTCTTACCAGCTGGCCAGTGATGTCTTCACTGCGAAAGGCGATGGATTCAAGTTCATTGCCACGGCTAGTCAGGGCCCGTAGACAAGAGTCCCGACTCTCAAATCTTCGCTCGAGGAACTCAATAGACTTCCGGGCCTTTTCTTGTACCACACGGGCATAGCCCCCTGCCCGGTGGTCTGTCTCCTGTCCTTTGGCCAGGCCGTCCAGTTCATTGATCACTGATAAGACAGAGCCCAGAAGGTGTCAGCCTCAGCAATCTGCAGTTATATGAGCCTTCATCCTAGGCCTCTGTCCACTTGCTTTTCTGGCCATCCCTTCACAGACCACAGAGGTACCTTCCTCCCCAGGAGTCTTCCAGTGAAACCAGAGGAGGGACAGGAAGAGTCCCCAATGTTCACAGTGTCCTGTCCCTTTTCTGTCTCTTTCCCTGGGCCTTGTCTTCCTCCTCAGAGGATCGAACCGGGCCCCTCTATTGCATTCTTTAGTGGCAGATCAAATCAAAGGGTCCTTCAGAGAGTATATAGTATCAGCCTTTGGGGAATCCTACCCACAGATAGCAGTCTAAGAGGGGCAAAGTTCTACATGCCCCCTCTCTGACAGAGTGCAGGGAAGTCAGCACAGAGTAAAGACAGTCATAGATTCACTTGCAAGTGCCCTGGTGTTTCTCAAAACCATAACCCTGGCACATTACCTCCTTGATACTGTGTATGTGTGTGTGTGTGTGTGTGTGTGTGTGTGTGTGTGTGTCTTTGCCTGTCTGCCTGTCTATGTGTCTGGGACATGGCTTCATTTCTGGTGAAGATTCTTTCCAAAATTCCAGCCAAAAGCCTGAGGTCAAGTGGGAAATATGCAATCCTTGGGGGCTCCGGGAGACTTTGGGGTCTGAGGCCTCTCTTTAGTACAATGATTCATGGCTTGAGTCGGCATGAGCATGCTGTTCCATAGTGAGCCTGGCACTCATTGTCTGGGTATTCAGAAACACTTTCTGAAAAAGGGCCATGTGGGAAGAAAACACACACACACACACACACACACACACACACACACACACACACACACACACACACACACACACACACACACACACACACACACACGATGCCCATGCTTTTAGCAATCTGAGATTGAAGTGTCCATACAATGCATGGCTGAGATTGGGGAACGGTGGTGGATGGGTATATGGTACAGCAAACAGAACATCAAACAGGAAAAATTGGTAGTCTATCCCAAAATCTGATTCCAAACTAAACAGGCTTCAAAGGGGAAAACTTGTTTGTGCTTCTGCACCAGGCGGGACTTCTCAACACTGGGGTCAGGCCTAAGGAGCATGGAGCAGGTTAAAGAGCACAAGAAACAAGCAAGCAGGGAAAGATGTCGGCTTAACCCTTTGTTGTTCTGGACATTGAGCAGGAATCCACCGAGGAATACATAAGTGAATAAAGGCTGTTCACAACAGCCCTCGAGCAGAGAGGGCAGGGGCCTGCCCAGCTGAAGCAGATTTGGAGAGGCTGGCTAGTGGGATGTGTGGCTGCAACACAGCTGTTCCCAGTGCCCTTGGAGATCATCAATTTTGTTTACCTATGTCCTCTAGATTTTCTTATGATTCCCTCTCCAATCAAATCTGCATTGCCATATGAACCCAGGACCAAAGGTCACAGCTCTTCTCTTCACTGTATCTCTCAGGAAGGAGACTGAGCACACAGTAGGGGAACAAGTGAGGCAAGTGACTAGGAATCCTGCTGGCCTGGGAAGGTATCTGAGGTACTTTCTGACCTATTGGGAGCTCCTGAGATGTGAGCAATCTCTTTGTTAGAACAATTTCCCAACCATTTAGAGAGAGAGAGAAAAAAAAAAGTTCAGCTCGCTTTCTTTTCCCTGAAAACCTCCTGGGAGGAAAGTACAGAGGCACATCCTGAAAGGCCAAGGCAGCCCACCCTAGGACCTAGCGAAGCAACTGGGAAGCTAGCTGTGATCATCTTGCTGCTGTGCCCTACGGCAGAAGTTGCTCCTCTTTTGAAGTGCAGAAAACCTTCCCTTAGGTCTCAGGGCCTGGGTTTAAGAGGTTCTGGCCAGGCCACATGGGGAGGGGGAAGGAAGACGAGGAGGGTGGAGGAGGGAGGAGGGCTGCTTCAGTGCCAACATTCTCAGGTGGTGCTAACGTGTTTCCCACAACCCCCCAGGGTTCTACAGGCTCTGAAGGGGCGGATGTTTCCTGCCCTTTGTTTCCATCCCCATCTGGCACTAAGACACTTGGGACTGGGAGGGAAGGCCCAATGGAACATCTTGGCATGGATGTCAGAGGTGGCTTGGCAGGCAGACTGCCAGTCTGGTGGCTTTTCCAGAGGATAGGGCTCCCAAACTTGCTTCAAGGGACTGCTGAGAGGGGTATAGAAAAGGCCTGAGCTCACTACCATCTTCCATACCTTCTGCTCGTGTGTCAACTAGATTCAACAGGAGCTCACGGCCCAAAGCCATCCTAAGGCTGATCTACCATAGAACTTCAAGAATTAAGGGTACCCAGAAAGTCTCTCAGAAGCAACTCAGCAAGGAAAAGCAAACTTGCTGGGCCCTTAGCTGCTGACCCCTGCACCAGCTCCAGTGACCAGTGGTAAGCACTCAAGTGGTAGGAATCTACAGCCAAGGGCTTGCTCTGGAGGGTTCCTGTCAGCCTGGCCTTGGGATGACACTGGGCCAGAAGAATGCTACCTCAACCCAACAGAATGATCATGAAAAGCTACAAGACAATCAGACCAAAGGCATCTAACCACTTCAAAATCCTCCCAGCCTCCCTGCCAGACCACCCAGCAGCACTGCCGTTATCTGCCAGGGCTGAGTGTTTACCAATAACGGGAACCAGCTTTGCTGTTTTACTGCAAGCTTTATAAGGATAAAAACAAGGGCTGGGCTCATGCAGCCGCTGGTTGCTGGGACACAGGAGTCCATTTGCTCAAGCAGTTTAAGCCATGGATCAGCCATAATAATTTGAACTGCTTTGATTATTAAACAATTTTCCTTGCCCCACGCATTCCCTGCTTCCCTGCAAATCCTGTCTTACACACGCACAGCAGGGTTCTGCCTGCCTGGCCCAGGCGTGGGGCGTGAATGGAGGGGGCTGTTACACATGTGTAGGGCTACTCTGCCTAGCCACTCACTCACCAATGAGAGGAACCACCAGGATGTACTTCCTGCTCTCCAACAGTCGTGCCAGACTGGCCAGGTGGTCAATGAAGCCGTTGGTGTCAGGTACGAGGAACAAGGGTCTGATCTCCAGCTCCATCTGTCTCATCTGACTCTGGTCCTCCAGCACAGCCTACAGGGACACAGAGTGTAAGGGAGCCAGAGAATGAGCAAGCAAGCAGGTGGGTGAGCCAGGGCCCTGACTCAACAGTGTGTCAGTATCCTGACCCCCTCTAGAGGTGCAGCTGGCCTGTTAGGCCTGAATCAAAATCAACATGGACCAAATGGCTATCAGGAAATAGGGTATCACTAAGCCCTGCCTATGATAGAAAGGACCTTGATGGTATTAAATAGAAAAGGTCACTGAAAACAGAATCTTGGGCTAAAAAAATCAAGGAGTTCATTATCTGGAGAGGAAAGGGGTTCAGGGACATTATCCAGGCACCATACACAAGGTCACTTCTCAGTGCAGGCCTTTAGGAATATCCAAAGCAGAATTTGTTATTTCAATTGAATTCACTGTATACTAAAACAAACCCATTAAAAACTGAATAAACAAGAAAACAAAAACGTGGCAAAGTTAATGGTTATGTGAAAAAGTGCTATTAGCTGACAACTAATAATTAACTGGCCATTAATAATCAGTCTTCTGCAGTAGTAAGAGTATATACAGTGAAGTGAATTAAGTCCCAACTCACAGGCATGCCAAGCCAACACCCAGACTAATCAGAACTTCTACCATCTTCCCTCTCCTGGAATGGTGTTTTCTAAACATTGGCTTTTTTGGTTCTACTTTGACTCTTTGCCATAACCTTGTAGGAGTGATACTATTATTGACTTCATGTTTTCTTTCTTTCTTTTTTTTTTTTGGTCATGGGGTTTGAAGTTGGCCTGGGCACTGTCCCTCAGCTCTTTGGCTCAACGATAGTGCTCTACCACTTGAGCCACAGTGCCACTTCCTTTTCTTTTTGTGCTGGTCCTAGGGCTTGAACTCATGCCCTGGGTGCTGTCCCTGAGCTTTTTTTTTTTTTTTGGTCGGTCGTGGGGCTTGAACTCTGGGCCTGGGCGCTGTCCCTCAGCTCTTCAGCTCAAGGCGAGCACTCTACCACTTGAGCTACAGCGCCACTTCCG